CCCGCCGCTGATTCTGGTCCCATTGGAGCTTCATAAACTGGTGACACAATAAATATGTCTCCAACACATAGCTTGCAGGTCTGAAGATGGGCCCAGCACTGTTTCTGTTCACGGCTGGAACTGACAAGCTCACTTCCGCTACAGTGTGCAGGAATCACACAATGAATGAACAGCAACAAATATTTGCATTGTCAAGGAAGTCAATAGCGGCAATCAAGTATGCCTTCTTTTTTATATTTGCTTTGTGAAAGCAACTAAGAAGGCATTCTTAGTCATTTTCCAAACTAATTAGCAAACTCAACAGGATGTAACTAGAAGATATATATAATCTGATTCTAACTGTTGATAAAGAACAGTATCAGAGAAGTGTTTGCTCTAATTCTGTGAAGTGTGCCATGGATATTTTAATCAGAATTCCATTGGCTCTATAGATTGCTTTGAGTAGTATATACATTTTAATGACATTAATTCTCCTAATCCATGAACAAGGTGCTTCAGTTTGCTTGCATCTTCCTCTAGTTCTTTCTTCAATTTCCTATAGTTTTCCAACTACTCTCACACCCACTCACACTCTCACCCTCACTCTGGTCTTGCCTGCCATCATGTTGGTTTTCCACCAAGAATTACAGTTTTTTTAGAATTGATTTTAAAATCACACATCAGAACTATAATATTTTTATTATTAAGACCATAACATTAGAAAAAAGCAGGTGAATCTCTTTTTTAGGGCCCACGAACCTCTAACCTGAAATCAGAAATGTTCATTTATTAGAATAATCTCTGAAATCATCTACCTATTGCTCCTGCTTGGCCTTGTAATGACCTGTTTTATTTTAAAAGTCTTATGAGATATAAATTTCAGTTATATCAATAGATTTATAACAATCTTGATTCTAGAATCAGGATACAAACTCTTCCCACTACTAGTGCCAGTGTCGGAAGCAATAATATTCGATATTGTATTCTTTTTCTAAGTTTCCAGAGCCGTGCTAGCATTTTTATATACATTACACTAACTCAATCCTTATAAAAGTTATTAGTTTAATGATTAAGAGAGGGACAGAAAAGGTACGTTTATTTGCCTGAAATTATAATGTTAGTAAGTGGGCACAGGTAAGATTCATACACATTTTTTTTTTTCCTGAGCGTTAAAACCCTCTGAACGTGGTATCCTGCTACCTTTCCACCAGGTCACATGAAAAGCAGCATTTGGCACTTATTCCAGTCTTTCTTCATGAGGAAACTTCGGGAGCTTCTCTTCCTTAACAGTCTTCTAACAAGAAGAATGGCTTGTACGGTGTCGGGGAAGCCGAGGATTGACTTATACCCCCAGGCAGAAGCGTACAGATACAAGCACTGTGATCATCTAATTTGAAGCATTTGTACAAAGAATTTCAAGAACAATTCTACTGAACACCCAGGACAGACAATATGGGATCCCCCTCCCACAAAAGTTAAACCTTAAACTTCAGTACAAAAGTAACAGCTATACTGTTGAAGGCTTCTTAAGAGAGAAACTGGCCCTAACCGGTTTGACTCAATGGGTAGAACATCATCTTGCAGACTGAGGGGTCCCAGGTTCAATTCCCGTCAAGGGCACATGCCCGGGTTGTGGGCTCGATCCCCAGTATGGGGCATGTAGGAGGCAGCCGATCAATTATTCTCTCTCATCATTGATGTTTCCATCTCTCCCTTTCTTTCTGAAATCAATAAAAAAAATATTAAAAAATTAAATTAAATTTAAAAAAAAGAGTGAAGCTGATCATCATGGACATGGGCAACAGTATGGTGGGGGTGGGGTGGAGGTGGAAGAGGGCGTAGGAAGGATAAATGGGAGTGGAAAAAATAAAAATAAATAAATAAAATAAAAAGTGAAACTGATCAGAGCTAAATGCAGAATTTCTAACAATGTGACTGAATAGTGTAGATTAATAAAAGTTACATGCACAAATAATATACATTGAGTTGCCAGATTATTATGATCTCTGAATGCATAATAATCTGGCCACTCAGAGTGTGTGTGTGTGTGTATAATTAGAAGCCTGGTACCTGAACTTGTGCATGAATTCATGCATGGGTGGGGTTCAGCCAGCCTGGCCAGGGGGAAGGGACATGTGCAGTTGGCCGGCCTGCCTGCTGGTTGAACTCCTGGTCAAGGGGACAATTTGCATATTAGCCTTTTATTATTGTATATAGGATATACACTGAGTGGCCAGGTTATTATGCATTCAGAGAGCATAATAATCTGGCCACTCAGTGTATAGTCATGCCTACAAAATTTGTCTCTGAATTTGATTCACGGATTCACAGCGAGAAGCGGGGAGGTCTGCGTGCGTGCGCACGTGGCACTCTCTGCCCGCGGTCCGGGGACTTTCCCCTGAATTTGAAACTTTATGTGAATTACTTGACTTGGACTAAGGAACGTGGTATATCAGCATGCTATTTTAAGACCATCGACATCCCCTGAGATGCTTGTGCTTTTTTTGCCCGTGTAAATCCATTCTTAGACATTTAATTAGCATCTTAGTTCCACTGAGGTGTATTACGTCTATTTGTTCAGGTAATTAATAGCGAGGACACAAGCATCAAATCTCTGTTGGAAGTAAAAGATTAAAATTAAATAAGGACGTTAGTACCGTATTTTTCTGCGTATAAGACGACTTTTGAAACGAAAAAAAGCCTGCTCAGATTGGCCAGAGTCAGAGAGGTGGTCTATTAAAGAAAGAACTGGTGATGCCCTGGAAGTGGGGGGTAGTCTAAATCTACGAATATAGGCCTAAATCTACGTTTTAACTGTAAAATTAGGGGGTCGTCTTATACGCCGGAAAATACGGTATCTATATTTCAAAGCTGATAACGTTAAGCATCTTAAAGATAAAAGTTTATTGTGAAGGACCACATATAATTTCTTGGGTTTTAAAATATATATTTTTTATTTCAGAGAGGAAGGGCAAGGCAGAGAGAGACAGAAACACCAATGCTGAGAGACAATCATTGATTGGCTGCCTCCTGCACGCCCCCTACTGGCGATCGAACCTGCAACTCGAACATGTGCCCTTTGACCAGATTTGAACCTGGGACCCTTCAGTCTGCATGCTGATGCTCTATCCTTTCAGCCAAACCAGCTAGGGCACCGCACACAATTTGTAATGCAATTCTAAAGTCCTTTTCTTTGAAAGAAAGTGGACATCCTTAACAAGTAGCAATATTAGTCAGTTCTAGACTTTCAAGCCCCGTGCATCTGCTTAATCAAAGGTCCATCACTATTTATGTTAAGCACGCTGCCTGCTTCTGAGGAGCAAAGTGCAAAAACGATTCCATCTAACAGCAGGTGGTTAGGAAAGAGAAGGCACGTCTTTTTGCTCCCTGTATAATGAGCTCAAAATCACTTTGTACTTTTGGGGGGAAAGACTACAGTGAAAATATCTTTGCTTACACTGCCATATTTAAAATTAACATGAGTCTGCACACTAAGTGCTCCTTGCTACGCTGTTCTCTCGCTTGCTTAAAACGCTACTTTCCTCTCTGCATACTTGCAGGAAGCTTGAGACTTGACAGATTCATATTTTACCTAAAATCCACCACAGAGTGGCAACAGGGGTAACCCAAGTAAGATTTTTAAGAAGACAAAGACAAGTGACAAATACTGATTAATTATCTTGAGTGCTCATAATCAAATCTCTCCGTAATAAATATTACTACTTGTGGAACTGCAGCTTTTCACAGACACTTGAGGCTTGAAATAAGTAAGTGTATCAGAGTGCTTTCTAAATCCCTTTTAGCAGAGGAGAAATGCATTACACAACCAAATAAATTAGAGCTGTAGGCAGCAAAAGGCTTATAATGTTTTATATTTTGTTGGACCCTTGAGTCTAAACAATTAACCATCATTTCTCCTCTATTCCTTCCCACATGAAGTAACACAGAAATTCAGCAAATGCTCTGTAAGTATTGTTTAATCAACCATGGCAAGCGTTTTTCCGAAGTCCCTAACATTTTCCTATTCCTTTCTCTTTTTTTTCTTCTTTTAAAAAAAAATATATATATTTTATTGATTTTTTACAGAGAGGAAGGGTGAGGGATAGAGAGTTAGAAACATCGATCAGCTGCCTCCTGCACACTTCCTACTGGGGATGTGCCCGCAACACAAGACCAACGTATATGCCCTTGACTGGACTCGAACCTGGGACCCTTCAGTCCTCAGGCCGACACTCCACTGAGCCAAACCAGTTAGGGCATTTCCTATTTCTTTCTGCATGATTGTTATGGCATCTCAGCATCTCAAACAGAAGCTTCTTAACCTCCTATCTTCTCCCAAAGTATAGCTTAGAAGCCACATGCAGTGGAACCACTTGAGCTGATTGTTTAAAATCTAATTCCTGGTCCAACCTAAACTGACTGGATTAGAATATCTGAGGCCAAGTTTCAGATCGGCAGATCTACCAAAAGGCAATAAAACACCACAATAAAAAGTGAAGACCAATCTGCCTAGTGTTAAGCCTGTTTGGCTTGAAAGTAAGCTCTGTTAAATTCTGTTTTTCTCTCCCCGCCCTGCCTGTCTTTATATGGTCATCCAATTGACCTGCTACTGTGTGAGATTCTACAGGCATACATTTCATTGCTTTAAAATATTTGCAAAAATTTTGAGATATATTTCCAATAGAAATATACTTCGTGGACATTAATTAGTAGGCATTAATTTAAAAAAAATAGGAAAAACATAGCAAATGACCCTCCTTATGTATATCTTTGAGTTACATCTCATCTTCAGCTGCTGATCTATTTCAAATATGAAACACACACACACACACACACACACACACACACACACACACAAACAAACCTCAAACACCAATTAAGAGATCAAGAGATCTCTTTGTAAATCTGCCAGCACCTTATTCCCATGTCACACCCTTCAAATCAATGAAATTTGTAGTTTTTGGCAATGTACTAACCCTTCATTTACACCTGGGGAAAATCATGATTTAAAGAAAACTCACCACTTCTTCATGTCTGCATTTCCTCACATTGATTCCATTTATCTGCAATGAAGGAGAAGGAGAGTTTCCTATGGTATATCATGACTGACTTCATGTTTTGGTTGCCATAAAACAATCCTGGCGAAATGCATACCTGTAGGATGGCATCCCCGATGAAGAGCAGCCCTGACAGTTCTGCTGTGAATGCAAAGGGACAGCTGATTGTGCATGAACTACTTTCCTCACACAGATAAGATTTTTTTTTAAGTCAAACTGATAAAAGAAAAAATACATGCTTTCTGTAGATATTATCTTAAAAGATGCACCATGGAAATATGAAATTAATCACATGATTCAGCCCAAATACTGAGACACAAGCTGTGATAATATTTCTCTTTAGTCCTACCATTTCAGATTGTACAGTTGTTTAAAAAGAACAGTCACTCTTCTGGATGGATGACTACATGTTACCATGTACTGACCATTTTAAGGAAAAGTTTAGACATTCAGTCCATTGGCTCTTGAATCAGCTCCAACTTTCTTTTTAAACATTTGATTATTGTGTACATCTCCGTCACTTTATACCTTCAGTGTTTTTCCTAGATAATAGTTTAGGAGGAGGGATAACTGGGTCAACTTGCATCTGAGAATGGCAAATAATAAATGTCTAAAATTACTTATACTCCACGTGACTTATTATTTCATTTATCTGTGTGTTTGTTTAATGAAAGAATTAAAACGCGATGCACCCCCCCTCCCCCAATTCATATGCAGTCATAGCCTCTGTTTTCTTTCCTTCTCACTCTCCCTTGAGAGAAGACCTTCCCTGGGATAATAAAGGGCACAGACTCAGGAATCAGACTCAAGTCACTTTCTGCCTGGTCTTGGGGAAGCTGGAGCTGTTCAATGACATACTAACTTATGATTCTTAAATGCCATCTCATTCTTCAAAAACAATAGCTTACAAAGGAATGGCTACTGTACTATTCTCTTAACTCTTTACCTCTTTGCTCCTTGGAGATTTTTGAAATGACAACTGGAATGTTATGTTCTGCTCCCCCCTGTAAAGATAAAATCATATATTGTGCTTTTTTAATTGGAAGAAATAAAAATGCGGTGTTTAATGAGAAACTGAACAGGCTACAATAGAATTCAACCAATACTTAACTTAAGATCTTATTAACATAGAACCTGCTCTTATTCCATTCACCAATAGGTCAGGATTTCCTACTCTGGTTGATTAAGGTATGATATGCACACTAAAACACCATATTTGGTAATTTAGAGGAAACCAGATACGAAAGTTTGCTATATTCAGTGCCAGGGGAGATAAGTTTCAAATACTTTTGCAAAATTTAAGGGATAACTGGATTAAGTTGCATCTTAATCAAAAGGTGACCAAGGTCTTTGAGAACCTACTTAACTTATATTTCAATCCAAATATTGAGGAGTTTGCTATAGCCACATCTGTCTAATTATTAATCAGATAAAATTAAAACACACGAAAATACAGCATTATAGAAAAAACCTTTGTAAGGCTAAGCCTGGAAGCACAGGTTACCTTTATGCTTAATCCAAATCCTCCTACAGTTTGTCTTCTAATGGTCACCGTTCTTTCCTGAAAGAAATGATGTTAAAAATGGTTAGCTTTTAAAAAACTACATTTACACGGCATACTCCTCCTCTAGGTTTTATTTTATGCAAACACACACACACACACACACACACACACACACACAGTGTCCGCATAGAGACTCCCAAATCATGCAATAAATGGAGTGTTTTGTAATTTTAAAATCGAACATTAATAATTTATTTGTCAAGATAAAAGGCCTATAGAGTTATTAAATAGCTAAATGTCTAAAGATTGATTCTTTCCCACGATTTTTTGGACATATTTTGGGATCAACTTTTAAATCTCTTCTCAATTTCACATTAAGCATTCTTGTTGTCTAAGGAATGACCATGTTTTGGTTGCATCAAAGGAACTCATTGTCAACGGTAAATACTATCTTTGTCAACTCAGTTCTTATCTTTATCACCACAAGTCATATTGTTATGAAGATTAGAGCACAGAGCTGGGAGGCTGTCATGTCCCAGCACATAAATGATTCATGTGTATATCTGGAATTGCAAGTGCAAATAAACCAGGTTCAAAGGAATTGCTTTTTCAAAAGTAAATATATTTTTATTGATTTCAGAGAGGGAGACAGAAAGACAGATGGAAACATCAATGAGAGAGAATCATTGATCGGCTGCCTCCTACATGCCCCACACTGGGGATCAAGCCAGCAACCTGGGTATGTGCCCTGAATGGGAATCGAACTGTGACCTCCTGTGCAATCTATAATTTTTAAAATAATCTAAGGCTCCTTTTACTTGTGTCATATTAAGAATACTTTGACTTAAAGCACTAGTAATGAAACTCTTGTATTTAAAAGATTCACTCAAATCATTTGAGGTGAGATGATTCATTTTCTAATTTTATACAGAAAGACTATTTTTCCAGCTTAAATTGCTCATCCAGAGGAAGCATTCAAAAGTGTACACAAAATTTGTTCCTGTAGAAAGGAACAAATATCCAGATTTGTAGTTCATTCATTATTTTAGGAAACAATTGTGACCTCAAATGAAGGTTGTAAAACTAACACAAAAATATATAAATAGCACATAATCAGAAAATGAGAAAAAGGGAACAATCTTCATTGTTCACCGCTAGGAATCACCATGGTGATGCAATCTCATTTAATGCTGTCACATGAATTATGAAAATCAGGTATTCCATCTTTTTCACTCATAAGAACCAATATTCAGAGACGGTAATGAACTCACTTCCAATCACAAAGCTAGCAAATGATGAAGCTGAGATTACAAGTCAAGTCTGTTTAATTTAAAAACCAATAGACTTTCTACAGTTAAAAAAAAAAAAAAAAAAAACAACAACACACACAAAACTAACCTTGGGTCTGACACTCTTAAGTCAAATATACTGAAATCCTTTTCCAGGGCAGCACAATAAAACCCAATAAAATAATGAACAAAACAAACAAAAAGTAATGTCAGGGAAATAACAAAGAAGAAAAACTAAGTTGTCAGAAACAACGTTGAAGTGGTCTGAAGGTAAGAAGAACCAAGAGGTAAGAAGGCTCACATGACCTCTGGCCCTGAGGGCATCCGCTGGGAGCCCACAGCTAGCAGGACAGGGGCAAGGTGAGACGTGGCCCCATCGTAAAGTGTAAGGATGAAAAATGATTCCAACCACCAAAAGAGCAATAGCAGAAGACCTGCCCATTTTGAACTTGGCTCTAAATATAAGAATTGAAAACCAGTTCTTCTGAGAATTTGTAAATGAATTGGTCCACAGGTGGGTTTGAAATTAATTTTGTTCTATCTAGGTAGCCTCAAAAGCTCAAATTGGGCATTAAGTTTAAAGGATATCTGAATTGCTAGGATCCGTAGGCACTTGTCTAAGGATGCAAATAGTCTTTGTAACACATTATAGAGCTAAAGTCCAAAAAATTCCCCCACAGAATCAAATAACATGAGGTCACAGTGAAAAGTCACAGGAGGAAATAGAGCACAATGAATGAATCGCAAACAGATAAACAAACAAACAAACAAGGGCCAAATAACACACTAAGATCTATTGTACAAAGATGGCAGATACTAGAATTCCAGATCCAGTCCTAGAAATAGGATTAACATGTTTACTAGAAAAAGAGATGTCAAATGAATGACAGTAATATAAAATATTATGAGGCAAATGAATGGGACAGAATGGAACTTTTAGAAGCAAACAATATAATTACCAGAGTCAGAATTTTAATATATAGTTCAAACAAAAGACTAAATTTAACCAAAGAGAGTTTAGTGGACTGAAAGAAAGACTGCAGGGGTTACTTTAGCACTCCACAGAGAGACAAACAGGTATAAAATATGAGAAAAAGTAGAGAGTGAGTGAAGAATCAAAGGAGCGTTTTTAAATACATGTAAAAAATATTACTAAAGGGAAGGACAGAGGGAATGGGAAATAAGCAACATTTAACAAGTTAATAACTGATCACTTTTTTTAATGGAAGAAATGCAGAAATCCTCATATTTAAGAAGCCGTATGCCTCTGAAGCAAAGCAAATAGCAAACATCTTTAGATGGATGCATCAGAGTGAACCTGCAGGTCACCACAGGCAGAGACTCTGAAATCTCCAAAGGAATCTGACAGAAGGGACAGATTTCCTATAAAGAAAAAATAATTCACTAGAAGGCACACTTTCGAAGACTCCACATTCAACCTGGAGCTGGGTTAAGCAAATGGGATTTAAATGTTCCAATATTTATATCATTTCCCATCTGTAAGAATGAAGTTGGACTTTTATCTAACACCATATGTCTGAGTGTTCTAGAAAGTTCTATCTAATGCTATAATTTAGCCTCAGAAAGAGCCATAAGTTATCATTCACACTCATTGCTCTTCTAACTAGCACTGAAATACCACTGTGGAAGATATCCTTAGGTGAAATTAGTTTCGTTTAAGGGCAATTTTATTATAAAACAGGACAAGTTTTAGAACTTATCATTTGTTGTGCAATAACATGAAAGACATCACCTTCACTTTGTTGCCATATGTGATCTGAGAAGAAAATTACAGCAAGTATCAAACAGTTGGCTTCCGGGATTCCCCAGACACTGTAGCTCTTTAGCTTGAAGACTTAATTTTCAGCTTATTAATAGACCTACCTTGGAGTGTCTTGGTGGTGGTGAATAATGCTGAACTTTCCACCTCACTCCTCACTGACATCCAATGGGAGTCACACCAGGTCCTAAATCAATAGCCCTCACTAACCAAAGCTAATGGCCTTTTGGCAGACTGCTGATCATTCTTTTGTCACAGACTATTTAAATCATCCTGAACCATGGGTCTTGTTGTCAAGATAGACTAAATTGCTACCATGGGATTACCCTCTCTTTTAGTTAAGGAAAAACTAGTGCTGTATCTCCTCTTTCTCTTTCTTCTTTTTCTTCCTTCCTTCCTCTCATTCCTCCTTCCCTTCTTTCATTCCTTCCTTCTCTTTCTTTTTCTTTTTTCTTTTTTTTTTTTTTTTTACTAATGAAATATGATTTATATAAATCTGGCATAAATGTATTACACAGGACCTAGATCAGAAAATTTTTGTAATTTGTGAAATTCAGTATTTCAACATTGAAATATTGTTATCGCTTCTAAATTTGGCAGTTGGAATAACGAATACACACAGACCTAATCTCTCTTTTGGAAAAAAGTTCCAGGGAGAATTTGGATCGAATTGAAGAGAAATATCCCATAATAATCTCAGCAAATGAAAAAAAAATCACTTGATGAACTTTGACCCTCATTTATAAAAAGCACTTTCTGCAAAGTCTGAATGGGATGGAAATTCCTTAATCTGAGCATCTTATGACCACTTCTCTTCTCAGTAGCATGATATTTCACATGAAGCATGCTCTCAGAGTTTGAGAGCAAGTCAAGGATCATGACTTGCTTCATTTCTACTCAATACTAACTTGGTAATGGAAATGGAAATAAACAACATAACAATTGGAAAGGTAGCAGTGAAATGGCTTTATGTTAGATATCATTGTCCATAGAAAGCCTTCCCAGATTTAACAATGAGACGCCACACTAAATGAGTGGCCGGAAAGCCAGTATGAGTACTTATACCAGGACCCCGCTCCCTTCATAATGTACACAGAAATTTCACACAGGATGACCTACTAGGCTCTACAATAAAAGAAAACAGACTAATAATCTTCTGTGGGTAAATATTTTCATGAATAAACACAAACATCTTCAACAGAAGGAAGAGCTACTTACACCGGAATAGAAAGGCTCACCAGACACACATATCACATCCTGCTCCTGGATCATCAGAATGTCTTTGGCCAGGTGCAGCCGGACTTTGAAAGGCTCCTGATTGCCATCCTGCAGCAAACAAATCCCTGTCTTTGTCTTCAGACAAAAACAGAGAACATATTATGCTTAGCTTATAAATGATGCTGCATGGTGCATTTCCTGTAAAACATGAATAACATGTCATGGCGACAGAAAATGCACTCTGGGGAGTCTGAGACTCAACACCTAACGTAGGTGCAGAGAAAAGGATAACCAGTTCACATCAAGTCCCCGGACCCCCCAGTAATGGAAAATCCACATGAACATCTGGAGAGTAAAGAGTGTAGTTTTTATACTATGTTAGAAAATTAAAGAACATTTTGTTTAATACTTATTAATTCTAGAATTTCTGTAACAGCTTTATTAAGTTACAGTTTACATTCTATAAAATTTAACCCTTAAATTATATAATTCAATGTGGGAACTTTTGTGTATTAAAAGTTTTACAGCTACTGCTATAATCAATTTTAGGACATTTTCTCCAAAAAGGAATCTATTATCACCACTTTCCTAGCCCCTTCCTCAGGCCTAGGCAACCATGTTAATCTACTTTCTGTCTCTATCATGAAATTTTAAATCTGAAAACGAACCCCTTAAACATCTTCTCTAACCTTCGCTATTTCATCATTTCTAGTCACCAACACACACACACACACACACACACACACACACACACACACTTTGTATAGATAAGGGAACAAGGATAAAGAGGCTGGGAAGATATAAACCAAAAAAAATCTATGCATAACCCACTGACAGATAATAGTGTGGTGAAGGCCTGGGTGGGGAGTGGAGAGGGTTAACAAGGGCGGGGGTTGAGGAGGGGGAGAGAGGAATGGGACATCTGTAATACTTCCAGCAATAAAGATAAATTTAAAAAGTAAAGAGGCAATGTGAACTGCCTAAATTAATACAATTAATAAAAAACAGAGCGTGGTTTGAGACCCAAGAGTCTTAAATCGCAATCCACTATTTTGCTTTCACACTGTTTTGGGAATTTGAAACAGCTGGTGATGATTTCCAAACTTGTACCATGTAGCTTTAAACCAGCAGCCTAGTAATCATTGAGGAAGTGCAAGAGTCTTGCCACCTCCTGAAGCAGGTCAGTGTTATACTATGCACCCTGATAAATAAGCAGATTCTCACTAGCTCGTGCCCTTAGCCTTCCCATTGGTCAGAGATACAAAATGAAACATTTTTTGAGACATCATTTAGTCTCCGGCTGTTATTCTGCACCAAATCCATAGGAAGAGTGACTACTTTGGCAATTGCGTTTTAATTTAATAATTATTGAATTAGTGTTCATTTAGAGAAGGGGATACGCTCATAGAAATGCATATATGTTCTAAGTATTTAATGAACACACAATTCCATGCAAAATAATATCAGGCTTTCTCTTGAAATATACATTTAATGTAAATTGCTAGAGGTGTGTTTCTTTAAAAGAATGTTTCATAATGTTGATAAGAATATCTACACTAATAAAAGAGTAAGACACAAATTGACCATACCTTCACGACACCCACCAGCCAATCAGGAATGAATATGTAAATTAACCAAGCAAAGATGGCAGGTTAATTTGCATAAGCAGCCACTGCCCCAGGTGCTCTGGGCCTCTGGGCAGTGAAGGAAGATGGAAAGGCTGCTCTGGGCCAGAGTGAAAAGGCAGCTCTGGCCGGAACGAAGGAGGTGCCAGCACGGAGGGGAAGGAAGGCCCATTCTCACAGGAATATTCATGCATCACGCCTCTAGTGCTTAGATAAAGCAGCCTCCCAAGATAATTCTCTTTGTAAACTGCTTTACACCATGCACTAATGCATATCATTACGCCCTCTATCCCATATGATATGCTATTACCCTGTAATTATTTCGTAAGGGCTATCATCTACTTCAAGGAAAATGAAGCTTTTGAAGGAGCAGGACCATGTCCTTTCCGCCTCTGTGAGATGAGTACGCAGCAGGAACTCACTCAATTGTGTCCATTAATCTATCCTAACGCATCATTTGGATGGATATGTCTGGAGGATGACAATATTTCAAAAAAAACAAATTATATGTTTCTTCCAATAAAACATAATTTTCTGTGTTTTTCACATAGAAAAGTCTCTCATGCTTATAATGTGATCTCAACCAGAAGCCAACATCCAGACACTGAGGTTGCATGGGGAATGGAGGGGCATAAAAATATCAAAGGCATGTGAACATAGTTGAGCATATCTGTTGATTTAAAAAAAAAAAAAAAAAGCCAAAAAACAACAGAACATGATTATCTTTAATACACAAGTTTGATACAACCAGAGCAAAATAATAACAAAAAACAATGTATTTCATTTGCAATGCATGAGCAATGGTTAACATCTCTTTAGTCATAAACAAGCTCTTAAAAACCAATAGCAGAGACACTCTCATGAGAGGAAACTGGAAAAAAAATAAAATGAAATAATAGACGTAATGATTAAGCCTTAAGCATATACGATGATTTCGCTGAGCCGTGGCGAAGGGTAATTCCTCTGCAGGATCACAGGGAGCAGAATAAAGACACTGGCACCTAATGTTCTTCAGTTTTGAACAGTGTTATACAGTTTGAACTCTCATGTATTGATTTTTCAATGCACAGTACCATCAGGCCTTTCCCTCCCCTGACGCTCCCCTCCAAAGGTGATGGAAGAAATAGCGTTCACAAATAATGCTCTATCTCAAGGGGGGCCTTTTCTGAGAGGCCTTACATACATTGTTTTTACACATCAAAGGGACATAAAAGATCACCTAGGAAAGTTCAGGGACTAAAACAGTAGAAAGAAGCTTTTCTCATCGCAACCCTGATGTAGGCAAAATTTTATTCACTCCACATTCAAATAACGTGCAAAATGTCCCCTCATTATTAGCTGCCTGGGAAGCAAAATCCAGTCTTTGAGCTTATGCTTCGGTCCTGAGAGAATAAGGCAGCTTTTGTTATAATAACATATGTTACAGCATTCAGTGCATTGAGAGGTCTGTAAACCAATAACAAGAATGTAAGAGGCACATGAGTATGAAAAACATAAAAGCAATTCGTTTTCTGAAAGACTTCGGTTCTGAGCCATGAATAAACTGGGACACTTTTTAAAAAGATATTTTTGCAAGAATGTTAACACATGACATTTCATTAAAAGAAAAAAAAGTCTTCATAAATGTTAATAACTGGAGCTTTTGCTGGCTTGTTTTTCACTCCATCCTAGGTAACCTAGTTATAGTTGTTTTTGTCTTGTGTTAGTTGAACACAATAAAAATATTTTAGACCTTCTAGGCAAATGTGTGAAATATTTTCACCTATGAATGTTAGCATTTTACCCAAAGAATGAAAAAACAATGCTTTGAATGCCCTTTGTTTAGTAGAAAAGATAGTATTTCCTCCAAAAATAGAACAGCTACAGTCCCTGGAGGCCCACCTCCACGTTGTTTTGACTGCACACTTGCGTGCCCTTTCCTATCCTTGGAAGAGCAATGTCATATCACTAACTCAGACTGAGGTGGGATGGCAGTTCTACAGAGAACCTGAATTGCTACGTATTAACAATGAAATTATATTGAGATACTTATAGAATATCGACGTTATATAATCCTAGAATGTTAGTGTGAAAAGGGACCTTCGAAGTCTTCTAAGTTATAACCATTTATGTGAAAGAATTACTCCTGACCCTGACACTACTGAAACCCTGCAGTGCTTCATTGATGGAGCAAGGTGACATCACAAGCCAAATAGGTGCCCGTCTCCTTCTTAAAGGAAGAGGGAAGACCTGTGCCTTCCCCGGGCTCTCTCTGGCTTTCCAGTCTTCAGACACAGAGCCTACCCTGGAAGAAAAATAAACCCATCACACATACCTCCACCAAACACAATGTCCCACTCCTGTCAAGGGAAGGCCCATGGTTTCCCGTTTAGAAAAACCGGAAAAGCACAAAGCCATGTCACCTACCTCCTCACAGGCAGTCCTGAAATCCATGTGCTATGGCACCGCAAAGGACTCTGTCTGCAAAGAGAGAAATGGTTTGCCATTGAGCACAGCAGCCGGTGTGAGAGGAGAGACCGTTACTGACGTGTGAGAAGATGAAGCAGATGCTGTGGGCAGATGATGCTCATGGTCCCCTGTTTGGACCAAAGGGTCCCAGGGTACAATGAAGGGAGAAGGAAGGATGGAAACGTCTGAGTCCCTGCTTGAAGGAAGTGTCAGCCCCCTGCCCTGGCTTAGTGTGGTGGAGCATGTCTGCCTCCTTGCCCCGCTCCCCTCAGCATTCACACATGATCTACATGTGAGAAACCTCTCCTCTCCAGTGGTGGCTCATTCCCAGCCTTCACGTTGGACCTCAGTGAGCCACTGGGATGGAAACTTCAAAAGGAGTAATTACAAGTTGACTTTCATGTGGTTTTATCTCTTGGAAAAAGGTTGGCTAATCTTTCTCTCCTTAATTAAAAAGTGACACGCGTGAGTAATTCTCTCTGGAACTTAACATTTTAATCACAAACAGTATGATGTGAGGAAACAAGCTATTTATCAGAATGAATAATAGTAAGATAATGGATGTATGAAATCTGTACCACGTCTTCATTATATGGTCACCATAGTATCTAAATGGTGGACATGCACTTCAATGTATAAAAATAACACTTAAAGTTTGGGTTTAAGTGCTAGTAGAGAGTTTAATGATATGATAACTTAATAAAAGTGAGTTATCGTAGAAAATTGACATTCTAACACATGAAAATGCAGAGCCAAAATAAAATGGCGTATGGAAATAAGATTTCAAAGTAAAACATATGTGGATTACAAAAGAGAAGACTTTATACTCCTGAAAACTCCTCCTCTAGTATTTACAACAGTACGCTATTTTGTCCTTCTTTATAATTTTCTATTGCATGATATTAAGGAATAAGTATTTGTGGGTGAAACAGAGTAAGACATTCACTTATACTGTCCCTGGATTATTACTAATGCCTCTGAAAGAAAAGAGATTGATCTCTTATCAAGAGTAACTAAATTGAATTACTGCTTCCATTCTTATAATTTCATGCCCAGATATATCTCTTAAAAATTATTTATACATTTATTTCCTCAAGAGTTTCTAAAGTCCATGATTTTATAAAGTTCAAAGGCAAGAAACATTTGACAAGCCCCAGAATAACTCTAAATCTGAATTTAGAGTTCAGATTCTTTCTAAACATACCCACCTAGGAGGAAAAAACACATTTTTTTCCCCAAAATTTAAACCGACTCTATTATATGAGAAGCGTGGGTAACAGTGGTAAGTCTCTAGATCCACCTGAATAGATCCAGAAGAATATCCATGTTTACAATGCAGTGGTTTGGAGATATGACTACATGATGTCATAATCTATTCTAATAATAGACTAGGGCTGTCATGACCAGATGGGCGACCGGTCCAGGCAGGAGCTCCATGCAGGTCCCCTGGGCCCACCGCCAGGTGCAGCCAGGTGCAGGAAAGCGGAGTCCACAACTTTTAAAAACTATATTTTTATTGATTTTAGACAGGAAGGGACAGGGAGGCAGAGATAGAAACATCAATGATGAGAGAGAATCATTGATCAGATGCCTCCTGCACACCCTCTACTGGGGATCAAGCACAAAACCCTGGTATGTGCCCTTGACCAGAATTGAACTTGGGATCCTTCAGTCCACAGGCCAACATTCTATCCATCGAGACAAACTGGCTAGGGCTAATCTAGTAACTTTTATTAAAAATATATATATACAATATATATATTTTATTGAGTTTTTTTTACAGAGAGGAAGAGAGAGGGATAGAGAGTTAGAAACATCAATGAGAGAGAATCATCGATCAGCTGCCTCTTGCACACCCACTACTGGGGATGTAACTGCAACTAAGATACATGCCCTTGATCGGAATTGAACCCGGGACCTTTCAGTCCCACAGGCCGACGCTCTATCCACTGAGCCAAACTGGTTTTGGCGAATCTACTAACTTTTGATGAAAATCATTAAAAGAACATTTTGTTGGATTAAAGAGTTTGCTTGCTAACAAATATGCAATTCTGCATTGTAATGATTAAATTGTAAATAAATTATCAATAAAGAGTAAAGGAGAGTAGTCAAGCTTTTAAGTGGTTGTGATTTTCCCAAGCATTTTCACATTGTGCTATTACATTTCAAAGTAAACATAAACATCAGGTATCTTTAATATTTGTATAAAGCTGCGAACAAAATTATCTGAAGAAAAATAGAGGAAGTGCCAGTTTTTCAAAGTGTTCATTTTCATTATAATTCATTGTAATTTTACTTGAAACATTTGAGAGCATTGCTTTACTTTTCTGTTATTCCCCTATTAAATTTGGATAACAATTGTTTTTCTGAGATGCATGAACAATCTTCTGTAGTATGAAAAAGTAGGGAATAATTGTTTTCTGGGAGGTCACCGATTAAAGACAAGAAGACAATTATTCCCTATTTTTTCCATGCAGAAATACAATGGATTTTTAAAATCTTTTGTGTGTGTGTGTGTGTGTGTGTGTGTGTTTTGATTTTGTTTGTTTTGTCTAGCAATTTATATTTTTTTCAATCAATATTTTAATGACATCTGACCTAGATATTAAATTCAAATTATAAATTTGGTAATAATTCACATGTTTATAAATAATTTTCTAATTATTTGTTGGAAGAAACTAAGCATGACACCTCTAAATATATATATATTTTGTTTTGTTTTGTTTTTGTTTTTGTTACTGATCCCTTGTAAACAATATGAGGCAAATGTGAATAGATGTCATTCATTTTAAGCAAAACTATATTAGTAGCAACAGAAATAGGACTCTTATGCAAACAATCCAATTTATATTAAAATATCTATAATTCTAAATATCTTATAAATTGCTTCTTAATTATTAACAATGGCTAAGATAATTGTAAGATAATAATCATTAGTCCATGTCCTGGCTCTTGAAAGAATCTGAGGTTTGATAAACACACAACTTATTTGCAAGCTACATTTAGCCTGACCGAGTGTTGAGGCTCTGACAGAACATGAGATTTCTGGTCAGATTTTAAGAATTTACTCTCAGCACAGCAAGTAGCATCAGCATGGTCACATTGTGTCAGTTTTCCCTGTCCCCCATCTCCCACAGAGGTGACACAGATAGGTCCAGATGGGTGAGAACACACAGAGTGGGTTGCATTATAGTAAAGGAAACTTGAGCTCAAGGAACCCAAATGTTTTATAGTAGGTGATAAACATCCATGAAGCATGCTTGTCCTTTGCTGTGGAGGGAGATGATATATCTTTCTTCTTATGGCTATTTGGTATCCAAGTATCCTTGAGGTAGATGAGATAAAGCATAAGACATGCACTTGGGATTCAATAAAAAGCAAAATGCCATAATTTTTTAAACGTGTTGGAGGAAAAATTATAACCTTGCAAAGTTTTCCAGGAAACCACACAGCAACCACAGTAAAACTGGTAAGTGCCTTTCCTCAAGAGAAAAAAAAAGGGGGGGGGGAGAGGGAGGAGAAAACCCATGATCTGCCAGATGTTAATAGAAAAATGGACTATCAAGTAGATGCTGAGTGTCTGGGAGATTCCTATGTAATATATAAAACCACATATAAAACTGTGTAGTAAATATTTTGGAAATGGTGATGAGTTGTATAGTATATATAAAACCTGCCAAGTCTGTGCCTAATTTAGTTTGATCATAGGGAAAACTGAAATATCTACAGTAGTGATGACCTAGCTGTGTGGGTGTGTGTATAGTATATTCCATATGAATAGTAACACTGGCTAATAATAGTTGTTTATTATGACACTGATTAAAAATTAGAATTGAGTCATTCATGAATGTATCCTACTAAGTCTTCTACACAAAGGCTTACATTTCTTTAAAAAACATTTTTTTATTTTGTTGTGGTTGTTTATTTCAGTTTTTTAAGTCCTTATTGTTAAAAGTATTACACATATTCCCTTTCCCCCTGAAATTGACCCCTTCTAGCCCACCCTTCCCCCACTCCAGGCCTTCACCATGCTGTTGTCTATGTCCATGGGTTATGCATATAAGCACACAAGTTCTTTGGTTGATCTCTTCCCACCCACCCAAACACCCCTGCTTTCCCTCTGAGATTCAAGTCTGTTGTTATTAAACATAAACATTCAATGAATTAATTGGATATCAATGTAGTAAAAAAAATTCATAATACAATCATATGAAAAGAGAGAAGAAAGGCATCATACTGGAAAAGTAGAAGAGAATAAAAGACTATGGGTTTAAATATAAAAGGATTGAAAGAAGCCAACAGAATGGAGAAAAGTAACTAGAAAGATACCTTGAAATATTTTTAACTTCTTAATTTGGATGCTTTCTACCTTAACATTTTTTTTTCTTCTCATCGTGCTGACAGATAGTTTAAAAAAGAGGTGAGGACAAGGAGAGTTGAGCTACCCCCGCAGTTTTTTTTCCCCCCCACACATTTAGTTTAGCACCAGATTTCTTTTCATTTGCAAGACAGTGGCATCTTTTATTGAAGAGATTCACTTTAAGAGTGGAAAACATTACCGCTATCATTGATGCAAGACTAGCTCAAAGCAAGCTTTCTTGAAAAAGATGATCACATTGGGAACAATAAGGAAACCAGAGATAAAAACTGGAGATAAGCCAGAGTTATATGGCATTATAATATGCAAGGCAAAGTAAATTTAGGACCACTTAAATGCCACAGTTTACATGCGTTGACCCAGAAAGCAAACGGCACAGAGCACTGAAACGTTCAGCTCCAGTCCAAATGGCCAATGTATGCTGGGGAATCAGCCGAGTGCAGAGGGGGCCTGTGAACGAAAGAGTATGAAGCGTGTAACTGTCGGAAATCTAAAGACCCTGCCAAGTGGGGAGTGCTTTTATGGACTAAGGCAGTGAACTCAGATGAAGGCTGAGGAAAGACCAGAATAAAAGGCATGATGAATCTGAGTAATTTGGATGTTCGTATGCAAGGGAAGAACTAGCTGACAGCTTCAGTTATAAAAGCAAATGCAAAAGGATAAACATAGGACATTCTGTAATCGGAAGGCAAAAATTATTACTTTGACCGACATTGCAGTACATTGTGGTGATTAGTCTGTGGATAATCACCAATGAGGAGGTCAGGAGGCCCCTTCTGAGGTCACAGAATACTAATATTGCTCTTAAAATATTGAGAGTCAAAGGAATCTCCAACTATGTACAAATTCGCAGATACAATAATAAGAAATAAAAATGGCAGGCTGGAAAATGTTCTATGGTCACACCTGATGGTTTGAACTTGAATGATTAATCAAGGTTTAAAAAACACTGCCCTATCTTACAGAAGGTGGTCATTTTCCTTAGTACAATATGTTTATTTTTTGAATTTAAAATCTGTGAAAACTAATAAAGCATTAAACTCAATGCTGATAAGAACGAATTATCTTTTTTATACTTACAGTAAAGCCATTTGGTAATTTATAGTGATTTACATTATTGAAATAATCATTATAAGGAAATTTCTTTAAGAATTAAGTTATGATAGTTGAACATAGCATTTTTTGGTCAAGGTTTTCTAGGGTCCATATCATGGCAAGCCTATATCAGGAATCTTAAAATGCAAATGGGGGTCCTGGATTAACTGTCTCTGGAATATCCATCCTTAAATTTATTAGAATCTCTCTTTTAGTTCATCAAATGAAAGCATGGAACTCTTTCTCTCATGCTGTCTTAGGGTGTTTCCTGAAGATACAAGAAGATAAAGGTCCTGACCTTTGCTTTATCCTCTAGTAGTCAATTAACTTACACACACACACACACACACACACACACACACCTACCTTACTCTAATGAACACTACAGAGTGTGAGAATTCTTCCAAAGAAACTGAAAATGACCTGAAGCACAAGTTATATAGCAATTCAATGTTTCTTTAACTGTCATTCCAGTAAAATTCAAAGGGCTTCTGAAAATAGTTCTTGGGTCCCCTAGAGGCAGCTTGCTCCCCACTAATTAGCATAGTATCCCCAGCTCCTGCAACATGGTAGGCACACAATACATATTTAAAGAGATATCACATTATGCTAAGATGGCTACAAAGGTCTTTTATGAATAAAATGAGGTAGGATTCTAAAAGAGTAAGGAAGTACTAAACCACCATAAAAAGAGAAAACAAAAACAACTTCTAATTATAAAACACTCAATATGGACACAATCAAATATGTCATCTGGGTTATTGAAAGGAAATGCAGATCACTGTAATCCAGCAATTATTTACTGTTGGCTTTGGGGTTCATATATATAGTTTTTCTTATTAACCCTATTTCCTCATTTTTAAGAACTACAAGATAAAATTCCTATATAATTTTTAAAGTAACTCAGCAGTTATTAATGTACTGGAAATAATCACAGATGACATTCTAGAAAGACAGATACGTATGAATGGACTGACAAGAACAATCAAGCAATTATGGCATTCAGTAATGATAGCGTTTCAATATCAAGGCTGGTCAATTTCCTTTTAAGTCCAGTCTTATTGCACAGAGAATAATGTTGATTTCACATAAAATATATCCATCTCGGTAATAAAATAATAGTGATAATTCCCCAATGCCAGGAACATTTATATTGATTTTGCAATGTCATTTTGAACTCACTTTAGAACAGCAATGTGTCCGATGCTTTAAAAATTCATATTGCTTGAAAGTCATAACAAAGCATGTCTCAGAAACAATAGGCACACTTAGTCTGCCATTGCGATTCAATTTAACTGAGCACTTATTGATTTACGTCTGCCTGCCAGGATAGCAACCGATGTAGGAATGCAGAGAGGTAGAGGACGAAAGCCCTGCCCTCTGAGGGTTCTGGTGAAGGACACCAAAGAGAAACACAATCGCCCAGCCTTGTGGGCTGTGATGGAACAGGGCCCTGAGCTTTGGTTGCTGAGAGAAGGGAGAGACTTGCTAGTGGCAGAGTATGGTTGATAAAGGCAATGGGTGTGAGGGAATCCCAATTAGAAGCTAAAGCCAAATCCTGAAGGAAGAGTAGCATCTTGGTAGACTAGGAAAGGAAAGCTGCCTAGAGAGAGAGAGGGGTGTGATGTGCCAAGGCCCAGGGTGTCGGTCTCTTATAGGAAGCTCATGCAGTAACAATTTACTCAGACTGGAAAATTCCACTGGATACACAACTCTAGTTTGGTATTTTCATTATTCTCGATAGTTAAGTATAGGGCATCCCAAAAATGTATACACACTTTGAATAATTATAAAGGCAATGTTTATTAAAATACGTTTCATTTTCAAACAAGCTGTCAGCTGTAAAAGTGTGTATATATATATATGTATATATTTTTTGGGGGGAGACTATATTTACTCCACTGTCTGCTTGCTTGCATATTTTCTGAAGAAAAGTCTGGTGTCATTCTAATTCTTGGTGTTTTGAGTCTTATTTTTCCCTATGGCTTCTTTCAAAAAATTCTCTTCATCTTTGGTTTTATACAGTTTGCATGTGTTGGGTTTAGGGATAGATTTTTTTTCTTAGTATTGATTCTATCTGGTGGTCTCTGAACTTCCTGGATCTGTAATTTCAGCCAGTCATTAATTTTAGAAAATACTCAGCCATTATTACTTCAATATTTCAGCTGTTCATTTCTATGTTTCTTCTTCTTCTGGTATTCCTGTTATTTTTGTTGTATATTTTGAAATTGTCTCAGAATTCTGGTATACTCTGTTCTATTTTTTAAATTGATTTTTCAATTTGAGATTTTCTAATGACATATCATCAAGATTATTGGTTTTTTCTTTAGCTCTTTTTGGTCTCTTATAAGCTTATCAAAGGCATTATTCAGGTCTGTCATAGTGTTGTTATTTTTTATCTCTAGCTTTTACTTTTGATTTTCTACCACAATTTCCATCTATCTGATTATAGCACTCATCTGATATTGCATGATGTCCACTATTTTCCATTATATTCCTCAGCATATTATAGCAATTTTAAACTCACATTCTGATAATTCCAAAAATATCTGCATATCTGATTTGCATTATTTTGCTTGTTCTGTCTTATCAAACATAATTTGTTTTGTTTTATCTTTTAGTATACCTTTAGTAGTATTTGTTCAAAGCTGGATATGATATATACCCTGTTTCTCCAAAAATAAGACAGTGTCTTATATTAATTTTTTCTCCCACAGTTGTGCTAGGTCTTATTTTCAGGGGATGTCTTATCTTTCCATGTGGTAGGTCTTATTTTCAGAGGATGTCTTATTTTTGGGGAAACACAGATAGGTAAAAAGAAAATTTAGTGTGATTTTTTTTTATGTTTATCTGATGTTTACTGATATAGCTACAGCTATAGATGTCCAAGGTATCAATTTCCTCTACTTTCGTTATTTTTATTTTCTGTAATTTTGGGGTTTTCCTACAGCTTTTTTTTCATAAGTATACTCTATTTTTGGACGTTCTCTCAGCTTGAATCCACTGTTATTTTACTGGAGCCTTGTTGATATGGTGATAAATTCTGGAGGAAGTGGAAATATTCCATAATCCTCTGATTAAGTTGCAACCTTTTAGTGATCTTGTACTGTGACCTTCACAAGTACTTCTCAGCTTTTCTTCTCTTCCTGCACTTAGATCCAATAGGAAAGCATGAGGGGTCTGGAGGTTGGTATCTGCCTTTTCCTATGTTTTTTAGTCTCTAAATAGTTTTTCTTGAGGGAAGACTTTAGTTAGTTAGAAAAAAAATGTTCTTGGTATATTTCAAAATAGTTACTTTTCCCCTTGCACTGCAGGAAATACATGAGCATTTTTCTCTGTTCCTTACTCTGAGAAACTGGTGGGGCTCCTGGAGATAAAACTCATGATTTCCCAGTGGCCTTCTGAAGGCTGAACCTGGGAGTAGTAAACTCTCAAGCTAGTCTACAACGAACTTCCAATAATTTGTCAATTACAATTTCAATTTTCCTACCATTTTTCTGCTTCAGTTTGCGGGGGATGGAAGTTTTCTCTGTGACTACAGTTTTCTAAGGATAAGAAACATTGACTTACAGTCTTCTTGGCTTTTCCTTGCTGTGAGAAAGGTTGTGATGACCTCTAAACTCTACATATCAGAACAGAAACCGGAAGTATGAATTCTCACATTTCTGATCTGATGAAGTTGAAGAATAAAAAAAGGTCTAGTAAAAAGAGTTAATGTTCCCAAAGCAACATTTATAATGTCTGGTGCATACTAAATACAAGTAGTTAACACAGTTATTTTCTTTAGTTGTGTTGCTATGGTAAGAGACAGCAATAGGGAAGAGTACAAACTAAACTCAGTCTTTGCTTGGGTTTCAAGTGCATTTCTACCACTCCTTGGGTCATCACTGTGCAGTTATTTAACTGTCCCAGGTCTTAGCTTCCTACTGCAGGATATGTGTGCCTAGCAAATGATAAGGTCTATACAAATATAAACTCTTATTATTAAGATACACGAATTTAATAAATATCTTTGATATTTATTAGGGCAATCATTTATACATCATTCCTTTACTTCAACAAACAAACGTAATATAGGTTTACCATGTGCATGGAACTCTGCTGAGGCTGGGGGTGCACAAACATCCTCTCTGCCTGAGAAAACTCATCCGTGCTGAGGAGGCAGACTATAACTCGGGTTCGCGTGATATGAGGTACATAACCAAATTACTGTACAAAGACAAGAAGAAAAATAACCAATTGGTTCAGATAATCAAGGAGAACTTCACAAAGCCTCCAGCATTGCCAAAAATGAGTGGCACTGACAAATGAGCGACGTCTCTGCAAACGCATAAATGGAGATAGAACATGAATACACAGAACCACTGGGAACAGGACAGCAAGTTGAGAAGAACCCCCTGGATAAGTCTCAGAGTAGAGGGAAACAATATTATTCCCAGTAGTAATGGTACATAGCAATGTGTGCTCATCCTACACAAAAACAGCAGAAACTATCTTTAAAATAAAAGAATAAACTGAAGGACTACAGGATGCTATCAGTTAATCCGCTAGGAATTGAGGCTATACAATGCTGAATGATAAATGAGAGAAGCAAAAAGTTTGTGGGGAATGAAAACACAAAACAAACACTAAAATAGTGTAAAATATGTGTCAGACACAATAGATATACTTGAGAAATATTCATTCACTTAATCTCAACAGTAACTTGGTGAGATAGGCACTTTTACTATTGCCACTTTGTTGATCATGAAGCACAGGCAAAGAGAGGTTCCGTTATTAAGTCTAAGGTCCCATAGTTATGAAGTGGTGAGGTCAGGATCTGAAGCCAGGAACTCTAGAGTTTAACCTGTTTCATGTCTTAAAATATTCCTGGAAGTGTGCTACATTAACCATCATTTAAGATATATCGCAGTGAGATAGCTAAATTAGGCACAGACTCATGCATGAGGAAAGTGAACTCAGCCATTCTGTAAGTTATGGATTAGGAAGATAGTTGGAAGACTTCCAAAAGCTTTAAAATGTTAAGTTTTTACAAAGTTAGCAGTATCTTTTCAAAAGTAGTTTTTCATTATTTAACTTTCCTTTTTATCGTTTTTGTTCTTATCACTGTTCAGTTCTGTAATCTTCAGAGGTTTGCTACCAACACTTTAGTTTATTTGAGGGGCAATATTTTTATATTTGAGACAACTTCAAGCTGTCAATTGATATAAAATATAACAGATCTTACGTATTTGTGTGAGGCTACACATTGATATACATTTACAACCTGAGTACATAGAAGAAATGGTCCTATTAAAATGATCGCATTGGTTCTGAGAAAAAAATGTAATTGTACTTCAGAGGAAAACAGCTGCTCCAACTGTGCTATTCTGTATCTGAGCTCTTTCCTGACAGCACTGTCATCATTCAGCAATAAACGCCTCAAACACCCTGACATAAAAGGACCAACTGCACATTTGGTGCAGTTAGAGATTGCAGATGGCAAGATTTCATTCTTTATAAGTGAGTGACAGATATAGATATAGATATAGATATAGATATAGATATAGATATAGATATAGATAGATGATATATCACCTCTTCTTCATTCATTCACACATCAGTGGACACTTAGATTTCTTCCATATCTTGGCCATTGTAAAAAATGCTGCAATAAACATGAATGTGTGTGTCTTTTCAAATTAGATAAATACCCAGAAGTGTAATAGATGAGTCCTTCTTAGTTTCTTGTTATAGGCTTTGTTTTAAAGTCTATTTTGTCTCACAGAAATAGACGCCAACTTTTTTTGTTTGTTTGTTTGTTGTTGTTCCATTTGCATGAAATATAGTTTCCTTTTCCTTTGATCCAAAGTGGGTCTCTTGAAGACAACATATGTAAGGGTCTTGTTTTCTTATCTACTCAGCCACTCTTTTGTTTGTGGCATTTAATCCATATACATTTAAAGTATTTATTGATAGGTATGTAGTTTTTGCCATTTTATTATTCATGTTGTTGATATTTTCTTTCTTTTTTGTCTTTTCATCTTGTTAAAGAAGTCCATTTAACATTTCTTAAATGTAGATTTGGTGGTGACGAATTACCTTAGCTTTTTCTTGTCTGGGAAGTTCCTTATCTGCCCTTCAATTCTAAATGATAGCTTTGCTGAGTTGTGTAATTTTGGTTGCAGGTCCATGCTTGTCATCACTGAGAAAATATTGTGCCAATCCCTCTGGCCTGTAAAATTCAGCTGACAGCCTTATGGAAGTTCCCTTGTAGGGAACTAACTGCTTTTCTCTTGTTGCTTTTAGGATTCTCTCTTTGCCTTTAACTTTGATATTTAAATTATGATGTGTCTTGGTGTGAGGCTCTTTGAGTTAATCTTGTTTGAAACTCTGTGCTTCCTGAACTTGTATATCTACTTCCTTCACCAGGTTTGGGAAATATTTGGCATTATTTCTTCAAATATGGTTTCAATTCCTTGCTCTTTCTCTCCCCCTCCTGGTACCCCTGTGATGTAAATGTTGGTATGTTTTGAAGTCCCAGAGGTTCTTTAAATTATCTTCATTTTTGGATTATTTTCTCCTTTTTGCTGTTCTAATTGGAAGTTTCCTGCTACTTTGTTCTTCTACTTCATCTATTCTTTAATGTAGTTTTCATTTTAGTTATTCTATTCTTTATTTCTGTCTGTTTTTTTATGTTTTTTTTTAATCTCCATTTTTATGTTTCCTATCTCTTTATTATAATTCTCATTGAGACCAACAATTCTTCCCCTAAGTTAATTGACCATCCTTACAACCAATGTTTTGAAATCTGCATCTGGTAGAATGCTTGTCTCCATTTCATTTAGTCTTTTTTTCTGGTGTATTTTTCTGTTCTTTTATTTGAGATACGTTTTGCTGTCTCTTTATTTTGGCAACCTCCCTGTATGTTTCAATGTATGAGAGAGAGCTCTTACATCTCTGGGGCATGATAGAGTTGCCTAATCTAGTAGATGTCCTATAGGGCCCAGTAGCACAGCCTCTTTGTTCACCAGAGCCAGACACTTCAGGTCCACCCTCCAATGTGGACTGTGTATACTCTCCTATTGTAGTTCTGTTGGCATGCCAATGGGAGGGAATTACCCTCATGCTGATTGGCTAGAAGGACTGTCCATGACTACACAGAGAAGTTGTTGTGTAGGGTCTGAGTCTACTGAACAAGATTCATTGAAGCATGGCTCATGGGTCTGCTGAATATGCTCTTTGGGTGTGTAATATGTTGAACTGATGCTGTAGTATCTAGTAGGGTTTGAAGCTGGCCACCAGGTATGTTGATTCTTGAGTCTTTTGAGAGGGTCTCTAGGTGGACTAAGATCAGTCACTGCTTTGGGCCCATCATGGTATGAGCTACAGAATGATCTACAAAGAGTTGCCACTTGTGCTGGGCTAAACTGCAAACTGAGGCTGGCTGCCACTGGTCTTAGGCTTAGGGCTACTTAGAAAAATGTATTAAGCAAACTGAGACACACCTTCCTTACATGGGGTTTGTGAAATGTTGGGAGATTTTAGCACAAACCAAGATGTGAAGTTCGTATGGAAAAAGTCACTGGAAGCATCATAGGTTAGGCTCACAAATTGGGTGAGGCGAGGTGAATAGTGTTAGTTAAGTCGATTGAGATTCTGATATGGTGCCTGCCTACTCCTGCAGGCTAGGGGTGGGGAGAGAACTCAACCAAGGAACAATTACTTCTGCCTGAAATTCTGTCTAGGAGAAAGTTACCTCCCGCCCCCCCCCTCCCCCCCAGCCTTCACCTTGAAGTCATACAATTCAGTTCCTCTTCTTTATATACCTGTGTACTTTTTGAGCTGCTGCCCCAGAGCAAGGCTACTAGTCTATCAGCAAGTAAGTGTGTGTGTGGTCCCTTTAAGAGGAACTGTCTGGGTCTCCAGCAGCCCTCTGTCTCACTCAGCCACAATCCCCAATGGTTTTCACAGCCAAAAGTTATGCTGACTTCTCTTTCTGGCATTGAAACCTTGATGTAGGGAGCATGGTGTGAGGCAAACTCTCCTGTCTCCTCAGGGGGACCTCTGCAACCAGGATATCCCTCAGGATTTTTAACTGCCATGGCTTGGTGTGGGACCAGCTTGTTCCACGTCTGCATCCCTCTTAACAGTCCTGACATGGCTTCTCTTGTGCATCCCTAGTTATAGTACTCTGTTCAGTAAGATTGCAGGCAGTTCTCAATGATAGTTATTATGTAGTTCAGCTGTAATTTTGATGTCTATGTTCTGGGGAGGAGGCAAGCACAGTTTTTACCTACTCCACACTCTCGACCCAAAAAAAATGTTTTATCAATGCAGCCGGTGGCTCTCCCACCTCAAACATGCCTGAAAATATTGGGGGATTTGATGAACAATTCTGGAGGAAAATGGGCCAACAGAAGCTGCATCCTGTGGTTAGGTGCAATGAAGGGACAGACCGTGAAAAGACTTGTCAAAGTGCAAGGTCAGATGCCTCAAACATCCTCAAAGCACAGAAAAGCAGCAACAGCATTAAATTCACCTGTTCAAATATCAAGTATTTCTATTACAGTGATTTTGTTCCGGCAATAATAATAAAAAAAAAATGCCCAGGAAGACAGAGCTGTCCTCTAGCCAAGCATGGAGGTCAGCAAGCACAAAGCAGTGGCAAGCAATGCAGCTAGGACATCTGCTCACACAATAGATCCAGTTTGCTCTTGCTCATGGGAAATTTTCCACTTGAGTATGAAGCCAGCCTCGCTTTAAATATAGTCAAATGTGATCATGAATAAACCACAGGGGAAGCATAAGTAAAGTTCTACAGGTCAGGGGAGAGACTATAAAAATACATGAATAGTGCATGCTAAGGCATGTAGTTTTAAAATGTTTCTTATTTCAAAGTATCAGAAAATAGTAGGCTATGTGTTTTAAGACTGTTTATTATTCCTCCTCTTTATCTTCTCTCAAAAAAATATCAATTCAAATTTCTTGCTTCTCCATAAAGTATGTTGAATTCTTTAAAAAAAAATGTGAGGAAATGATATGTACCTAAGAAGAGGGGAAAATGTTTGAAATGCATCCAGATTTATTTCAATAAAAAGTATTCTTTGTGATTATAGAAGGTATTATACTTTGAGGATGAAATCAGTCACTCTCAGATGAATTGTCATTACTCTCCTTACAAATGGATTTCTCTCTTTCTTCATTTATATGTCACCTTCCTTAGAACTCTGTCAGGGCTTACAGTATAGGACACTTAGCACAAGGATGAAGTGAAAGGATATGGAGCAGGATACTGGGAAAGTCTAAGTAGGTAATAAATGACCATCTCTCGCAGAGCAATAACATCGCCATTTATGGCTAGAACGCCGTCATTTGGGTAGTTTCCATGTACATAGCTTGCTCTCTGTCTCTGTTTAGTTAACTCCTTCTTATGAGCTTCAAGGAATCACAGGGTTTCAGGAAACAGAAATGTCCATCAAGTTCGAATGGTTGGGGGAATGAAGAATAGATGCAGAGGCAAGGAAATGCAACGGTAGAGACAATAGGTCATTCTAGAGCACGCACTCCTGATTCAATTTTAAAAATAGGTTATTTTCCTCTATTATCTATCAAGCTTTTCTACGGCATTTTCATTGAAGGAAAGGAGGTATAACTCTATATAGGTCTCGTCATGAAAATTATTCTAAAACATTGGCTATAACATTTTTTTTTTGTGGACTAGAATGTGTTCTTGCTGCTTCCTAGAAAACTATGCCTTAGAATTTTCTGTTTATTCAAATAATGAGAAAACAGTGTTTAATGTAATGATAAGAGAAAATGTACCTGGGTTCAGGTGGGTAGGAATCACAATTTGTTGAGGAAAGAACAATAGATTTATTAGCAACCTATCACTATCTGGGTGTGATTATGACACAAAATGGCTTTCATAGTCTAAGGCAGTGTTTCCCAACCTTCTCTCATGATGAGAATCACCTGGTGGAGTTGTTAAAACACAGATTCCTGAATCCCAACTAAGAAGTGCTAAACTAGAATTTTTGAGAACATATAGGTAAAATTGCATACCTAACTTAGTGCTCTGTATATAAAATCTGTCTTAGAGCACTAGTTAAGTATACAATTTTACCTATATGTTCCCAAAAATTCTAGTTTAGCACTTCTTAGTTGGGATTCAGGAATCTGTGTTTTAACAACTCCACCAGGTGATTCTCATCATGAGAGAAGGTTGGGAAACACTGGTCTAAGGACATCTAGTAATAAGAACAAAGTAGACCTAACTGTTTGTAATCTTAAATGTCATCATCTTTGCCATAATCTTTGAGAAGACAGCCAAGGAAATCCAATATCAAACGTTCTGCAAGGATGTGTGCAGCCTTACAATTCTATGGTTTTTACATCACACAAATATTCTGAAGAATTCTTGTAATTTTTGTATTACATTGAAATATGATTTAATAAAACAATATGTACATAATACACCTTTAAGTGTTAGCATCCATTTAAGCATAATAGATGGTAATGAGTTTTATGATTCTCACTAAAACCACTTTGGAGATCCCTTTTCTGCCAGAAAATATAAACTGCGAAATACTGCAACAATTTATTAGGAAAGTAGATTTAGTGATTTTCAGCCAAAACTTTGGCAGCCAGGTTCTGGTCTTTAGAGCAAATACAATTCGAATCCTTCCAAAAGGAACACTCATCTTAGCACCAATGTCACAGACAATATTCATCTTCTGATTTGACTCTACTGTCTCATGCACATTTTCTCCAGGAATATTGAATTTCTTTTATAATTTCACACTTTCATACTTTGTTCTGAATAAACAAAAGAGGATGTACTAGTACCCTAGGCTCTACTGTGGTAAAGCATGTTAAGAAACACTTTGCCAGCCACGCCAGTTTGGCTCAGTGGATAGAGCCTTGGCCTGTGGACTGAAGGGTCCCGGGATCAATTCTGGCCAAGGGCACATGAACTGGTTGTAGGCTCGATCCCCAGCAGGAAGCATGCAGGAAGCAGCCATGATTCTCTCTCATCATCAGTGTTTCTCTCTCTCCCTCTACCTTTCTCCCTGAAATCAATGAAAATATTTATATATTTTTTTTTTAAAAAAAGAAACACTTTGCCAAGACCCCCCTTTCGATTATTACCTGTCTACCCTTTTTCCAGTAGTTCAGCACTCACTCATGGAAGCCTTACCATAAAGTAAGCTTTTGAAAATTGATTAGTTTTCATTCCTCTGAATGATGCTCATTAGAGTAACAAAAAACTCAATATAGTTGTTTAAATAAATATGGTAGGAAGATATATACAAATACAGTCCAAATACTAAACACTGGCATGCATGTGAAATATTGCTACCCTCCCCACACCAGGATATTTTTTTTAAGTTTGATATTGTTCTAAAACAGATAAAGAGGCTTCCTAAACCTTAATATTGAAGAAAATTACATGCTTATTAAAATGTAGAGAAAGTTATATTTTTTTTCATTCATCTACTCACAACAGCATATTGAAAAGTAATGATCTTACTTGAGTGTAGGTAGAGCAGTATTTTGCTTTTATCAGAAGTCACTCCTCTGGCAATCACAACATTCTGGAGAATCGTCTAGATACAGAAAACAAAACAAAAGTCTTGCAAACATTCTAAATAGATGCAATTCAGTCTATACACTGAAGCGAACCCATTTCATCCATAAGGAGACACGTCCAATTTACACTTGTATCGCATTCAATTTATCCCATTTCTTGTCAATTTATAGGAGTAACTCAAAACCTTGTGGATTATCGATGAAATAATATAGCAAGTATTTCTTATGTGGCTAATGTCATAAAACTAATTTCTGCAGAACATGGTTTGGGAAAATCGGCTTTAAGAAAAAAAGCACAAAAGGATATTAGATAATTTGCCCAAAATTGTATGTGCCAGTAGTTGCATTCAGATCTAAACAGCCAATACTTCAGCCTTAAGGGTAACGCCAAGTTTAAATTATCAATAATCTTTAAAAGCCTTCCTTATGAGGAATCACTTCATGTTTGATGCCAAAAAGTGATTACTATTTTTAATGAGACATAGCTATTAACTCAGTTTTATACTGCGGGAGAGGGGCTGATCTCCATAAATCAAGGCTTGAGCAACAGATTGCTATTTCTAAAGGTTAGAATAATGTTTCTGCCTTTGCCACTTAATGTTTAACGATCATACTTATATAATCTATGATATAAACTCAATTGTAGTCTTGAAACTACTTTTATACTTTGATAAAATAATAACCAGGTGAGACATCATATTAAGAGAACAGTGGTTATCCAGAGAATTTCCAGAGGCACACAGTGGAGGTACCTGTGTAACTAACTCATCAGACCCAGAAAGGACTCAGTAAGCACATTCTAATTCTGACTCTGATTCAGATTTATTCAGAGGCCCGGCAACATGGCCTTCTCATACTCTCCCCAGAGAACTCTGAACCTTAGCCAAGTTGGGAACCTAAACTAGAACATGAGCTTCTGGGCGGTGGTAAATAGTTCAGGAATGGCTCTGAGATCCCTGACCCCTGGTGGACACCCCATATTACCCCCTTCTGTGACTATGGACTGAGCTTGTGACTAGGAAAAGGTCCCATTAAATGACAAAAGTGAAGGGATTGGGCGAAAGGAGATCAACTAAAGGACTTGTATGCAAGATTATAACTCTGACCAAGGGACATAAACACCAGGGGGTTGAGTGGCATGGAGGGATAAGGTATGTAATACCTTAATCAATAAATAAATTTAAAAAATAAAAGGTGAAGGGATTTTGCAGCTGTAACCTCCCAAATCAGTTAGTGTTGGATAAGCCAATTTGAGTAGCCAGACATGGTCAAGCGGGAGCTCTTACAAAGGGAAGGAGATTCCAGCTGAGACAGATGGTCCTGCTGGGTTGGAAGAAGCTGCTTTGTTGGGAGATGGCCACACACTTATGTCCTTTAGAAAGCACTGCTAGGAGATCGGAGCACGAAAATGGGGAAATCAGCGCTACAAACACTAACAAGCGGATTCCGCCAATGGCTTAAATGAACCCAGAGAAAGTCCCTGAGCTCTGTAGGAGAACACAGCCTGGCCAGCCCTGCGATTGCAGCCTTGGGGCCCCTCCATGTAATTAAGGTTGTTTTTAATGGAAAAGCTTAAGAATTCAGAATTAATTGGGGAGGGGGGAGAGAGACTTATGTAATACTTTAAACAATAAAGAATTTAAATTAAAAAAAAGAATTCAGAATTATGTATCAATTAAGTGAGGGGGAAAATTAAGGCATTCAGATGAAAGCAAAAGTTAAGGCAGTTTATTACTTCTAGATTCGCCCAGAACAAAATGATCAGAGGAGTTCTGCAAAGTAAAATGAAAGAAGGTCAGACAGTAATTTGAAGTTATATAAAAATAAAATTCTCGATAAAGATAAATACATGGGCAATTATAAAAGTTTGTATTATTGTAATTACAGCTTATAACTTCCATTTTTTGTTGTTTACATTATTTAAGAGACTAAAAAATTTTTAAATTATTTGCCTAAAAGCTAGTATTTTTGTAACTTTGGTCTATAACTCCACATTTTGTTTTTTGCCTAATTTAAGAGGCTAATGCATTTAAAATAATTATTAGTTTATATCTGAAGCATTATATACTATGCAAAGATGTAATTTTGTGATATCAACAACCAAAAGTAGAAGAGGTAGAGGTATAAACAAGCAGATTTTTTATTTGTTACTGAAATTAAGTTAGTATAAATTCAAATTAGAGTATCATATTATAGAATGTTAAATGTGATCTCCATGCTAATCACAAATAAAATAGCTAGAGAATACACATAAATGCTATGAAGAAAAACATTTAAATGTTTCATTACAGAATATAAACTAAACAAAAAAGCAGAAAGTAATATAAGAAATGAGGAACAAAAAACCCTACAAAGCATAAAGGAGTGGGCAAAAAGTAGAGTTACCATTGTTCTTTTGGAAAATAATGCAGTAATTCAAAAACAATAATATAAGAATAAACTATAAACCTATTTTGTGCACCCAAAAATATAAAAGGAACAGAAAATGATGAAAATAAATCTCTTCATAGTATTTACTTTAAATGCAAGTGAATTGAACCCTTCAATAAAAAGACAGAGATTAGCAGAAAATTTTTAAATCTCTAATTCAGCTCTGTGCTATCTACAAGAGACTAATGTAAGATCAAAAGACATAAAGAGCTAGAAAGTAAAGGGGTAAAAAAAATTATATTATTATCAGAAAAAAATATACTTGAGTCAAAAAAGTTTACAACAAAGAAGCATTTATTGCATTCAGTTTTCTATCCCACAGATGAGTGAAATAATAAATAGTGATTTATATATTTATATATAATATTGGTAGAGATGGAATAATACCGTGTTTTGATTGTGGTGGTGATAATAGGCATTTGTACATATGATAAAATGACATAGAGCTATATACGTAATGTCAGTTTTCTACTTTCAATATTGTATCCTAATTATGTACAAAATAACCATAGAGGAAAACTGGTCAAAGGGTTAACTGGATGTCTCTGTACTAACTGGATAAAGGGTTAACTTGATATTTCTGTACTATTTCAGTAAATGTACATTTATTTCAAAATGAAAAGTATCAAAAATTATTCATCCATCCAGAGAATATATGAATTCAGAGACGAGGGTCGAGGTACAAAAATAAAAATTCTTCTCCACTCTGAGCACCTGCTATATACAATGAATTGTGTTGCGTGGCTTTACAGCTTATTTAGGCTGCTGTAACTTTCAGCCTCAATAACTGCGGGAAAAATAACTGTACTTTTTTAAGCCATCAGTTTCCATATGACCTTGCACCACCCCCTGCCCCGTAGGCCTACTGCACTATTGTCTGTATCCATGGGTTTTGAATGAAGATGTTAATCACCTTCTTTGGGGATTTCTTAATTTGGACCATTTTCCTATTTGTGCTTTTGTGTTCCTGTTGCACCATCCTTAAGGTTTCACTCCTGTGCAACCCGCTGCTGCTCTTGTGATGCGGTGGTCTCCCGCACAAGACTGTGGGCACTGGGTTCTCTTCCTCATGAAGGTAATTGGTCGACAGCTACTTCAAATCTATAACCTTCATCACATTATCCATTCCCTTATACCAGATTAACTACCTGACTAGCCATTCAAGTGCATTACAATTAAAGTGGGAAAAATTAATTAGGTTATTATGCACATACACGTGCCAAGTAGTCCAAGATGTAGAATTCAGAGAGCAAAGCTTTTCTAGAACAAGAGGCCCAAAATTCTACCCATGCTCAAAGACATTTTTTTCAATATACTTTTATTGATTTCAGAGAGGAAGGGAGAGGGACAGAGAGCTAGGAACATCAGTGATGAGAGAGAATCTTTGATTGGTTGCCTCCTGCACACACCCCTCCCCGCCCCCCCACTAAGGATCAAACTCACAACCTTGGCATGTGCCCTTGACCAGAATTGAACACGGGACACTTCAGTCCACGGCTGATGCTCTATCCACTGAGCCAAACCAGCTAGGGCTCAAAGACATTTTTAATCCTCCAAATAAAACAAAATTATGTATATAGACTGAAAAAGTAATCTAAAGCCTGAACTTGTTAACAATATAATACCACTTTTATACCATATCAGAAGCAGCATGCATGTTTATCAAAAACAGTAGGCGAGTGATCAAAGAAAGGTTTTACAAATAAACACTGGAACTTCTTTTTGCAGGAGGGAATGATTTTAGATAATTTATGCTCTTCGGCAACTCATTTGTATTCTAGTCTAAATATACATCAGCCTAAATGGTTGACAAAAATCTGGGCCAGAAACCTAAATACAGAACTCGGGGAGGACTGCTGGCAGGGTGCAAGCTCATTTATGTAACCACCGGTCTAATATTTTATCAAGGTGGGGAATCGTATAATTTGCTTCCCTGTAGCCTGTGGGATGCAATCTGTACAGCAACATGCAACAATGAAAGAAAAAAAAAATAGCAATGTAGCCATTAGGAAGTGCGGTGTGCTTTTTAAGGCAACGTGAAAGCATAGTTTTAGAGTGGTTCTGATGTTTTTTCCCTTCCTGATGGATAGCAAACAAGTTCAATTCTTTCCCAGCTTAAATAAAACGTTCCCTTCACTATTCTTTTACTTTTAGTCATGTTGATTTTTCCATCAATGGCCAAATTTCTAAGACTGCTCCTGTGATGGTTTTCCTACCATCTATTTACAGGAAACATGAACTAATTGAAGACTTTTTTCCATTGCTGTCAGTCCAGTCACATTGATTATGTACCTACCTCCCACTGGAAAAATTCTAAATATTCCTTTAATCTGAAGATCTTGGAGTTCCATCTATGGCTTCTCGCTAGCAATTGCACTGTGCGAGGATGAATACAAGATCAAGATCTACCCTCCTCCCCCCCAACCCTTCACTTCCCCAGAAACTGCAAGTTGTAAATGGGTTCCAATGGGAACGTGGGTGACATGGACGCCATTCCTCAACTCTATATATACCGTTTCCCCGAAAATAAGACAGTGTCTTATATTAATTTTTGCTCCCAAAGATGCACTAGGTCTTATTTTCAAGG